AGAGTGTCCCACAAGAGTGTCCTGCAAGAGTGTCCCACAAGAGTGTCCCGCAAGAGTGTCTCACAAGAGTGTCCCTTGAGAGTGTCCCACAAGAGTGTCCTGCAACAGTGTCCCACAAGAGTGTCCCACAAGAGTGTCCTACAGGAGTATCCCACAAGAGTGTCCTACAAGAGTGCCCCACAAGAGTTTCCTACTAGAGTGTCCCACAAGAGTGTCCCGCAACAGTGTCCCACAAGAGTGTCCCACAAGAGTGTCCCGTAAGAGTGTCCCACAAGAGTTTCCTACAAGAGTGACCCACAAGAGTGTCCCACAAGAGTGTCCTACAAGAGTGTCACTTGGCCATATGTGGCTTTTTGAACGTGTTTGCATTCGGGTTCGTGGGCTCCATCTTGTTTTTCATTTTTGCTACTTGATAAACTCACGTAACACATCACTGTTCAATTCTTTCCACTTGATTGGTGTTCTTCTTATTTTTGCTTCATATGTCAACATATGTCAACATTCCTTTTGCTTTTTGCTTTCTTCGTTTGTCATTCGCTGCCAGGCCGTTTTCAGATCCCCGTCCATTGACTTGGACAAGCCAACCGTAACTTGGGTTGAATCATCATTGAAGTGTTTGTGGAATAAGTCGTTTTTTTTGAAGGCTTGCCTGCTTGAAATGGGGTTAGACATTGTTTGAGTGGCACAGGGTTGTAAGGTTCTATGATCAGATTGGGCAATCAAATTTGGACAAGTTTGCAAGCATCAGTAGGTCTAAACTCTTCTTGGAAAGAATTTTGTTCCGTATGCTGTCCGGTTGACTTGGGACCTGTACAACAGACACCGCGACAGGTGGTCTTTATCGGGGCTCCAAATGTTTGGCCCTTAACCGTTCATCCGTGAGCATCCCCATCACATGGTGCATCGCTCTTAGGTTGGAGGCCATCTAGTAGGTTGGAGGCACAACTCCGTGGTTTTCTGATTCTAATTACTAAGTATTGTTTCTACTAGCTTCTTGTTACTACTAGTAAGGCACTTGTTACTAGAAGCGATGCACTTGTTCCTAGTAGCTTCCTTTGCTCCTAGTTGCTGGAAGTCAGGTGGGTAAGTCGTCCTTGGTGCGGTCAATCTCCACCGGCAGACCCGAGGCATGGTCTTTTGGTCCAGCCTTGGCTGGGAAAAAACATCGGAGTATCACCGCAGTTTTGAGAGACCAGCCGACTGGCCGCCTTCGTCCAGGTCAGTGACTACTTGTACACCACAAAGGAACTCACCATCGGTGCTGCGCTGAGGTCAAAGAGACTTCGTCCCTGTTGTATTTGTTTCTTAAAGCCCGCTCTCCCCCCTCCCTACTTAACTAAGTGGAGATTGCCTACTTATTAATTAAGTAAGGGAGAGGAGGTTGCTACTACCTCTGCAAGTAAGCTACTACCTAGGATGCAGGACTAGCAAGAAGCGCTCGCACTAATGATTTGGTTCCTAGATTTTTAGGGAAACTTAACTCTGCAGCTGAGGGCATCTTTGGCACTTCATTGCTGGACGCTAAGAAATCTGATGTCAGGAGAGGTTGCAAGGAAAACATGATTTGTTTCTTTATTCCAAATTCAAGAAAGCCTTTCCTCATTGGAAGAGTGTTATTCAAGCACTTGCTTCAGATGGATGCAAGAGAGATTCAGGCAGTCAAGGGGTCCAGTTAAAGGTGGTTCCAGCAAAAACAAGCAGGTACCCGAGCCCATGTTTGCGGCTGAAGCTGATTCGCACAAAAAGAGATCATGGAGTTTGGCTTTCTGCAGAAGTGAATGAGTTTCGACGGTTGTCACTTCGACACGCTTCGCGGACCCAAGGCAGGCACCCCGTTGCTCATTCATGGAGGGATCCTCAGATTGAAGTTGCTCAGATCCGCTTGCCAAAAGTAGCGCAAATGACCTTGAATCTTGGAGGACAGTTTCTTTGCAAAGATTGTTTTTCTTTAGAACTTGAGTTCTTCCGGTTTCCACTGCATCTCCCTGCATTCAACTAAGCGAAGCGGACTGAGGTCAGATCGTGGACTCCCCTGGCCTGAAATTTGGTCCAGGAAACCACTTGGTTGTTTTTCAGAGTTGTTCTTGTAGCGTCCTTGCTACTTTGTAAAAGCATCATGACGCAGTAATATGCAGTGTCGTTAGCTTGAGTTTGGAGGTGGAGACCACAATTTGATGGACAAGCTCACCATAGGTGGGAACCTCAGCGTTGAAGCGATTGTTAACACCTCAACTGTCACCCACTCTGCAAGCGAAGTGTGAGGTTCCATGGAGAACTTGCCCACTGGAGTGGTCTTCGTCTTCGATCCTTATCCATACACTCACGGGTTCCCTCCTGAGAGCTTAGACAGATGATTACAAAGGTAGTTGCAATTGCTGGTCGCAAAGATGACAACGAAGCTGGAGCAAAGCACGTTGCACTCTTTTAGGCGCTTTTGCTGAGGCTTTTGGATGTCGACGCGCAAGTGAAGCTGCGTGATTCTTTGAGGTGCCCGCCGCAAGTATTGAGCCACCCTTTTTTTGTTTGTTCGGTTTATTTGTTCTTTGGCCTGCTGCTCAATTAAGTAAGGGACAAGTTTGCTTCTAGGAACAGGACATAGGATAGCTCACACTAGTTTGGTTCCTAGATTTTTAGGGAAACTTAGCTCAAAAAATAAGACAGATTCTGTTGAGATGAGACCTTGCGTCACTTTGCTCTTCTTACAGGGCCCGATTCCCTCGTCGGCCATGGTTGGATGTCATCACCAAGATCGATCGGACTGAAGAAGAGGTGAAGGAGGGGAATAGAAGTGCAGAAACTCTTTGGATGTGATCGGCTGAGGGCAACATGCGTTGATTTGGACATGGATGTCAGTCATCATGGTTTCTATGCCACGTTTAGACTCTTCCAAGTGCGTTTGGTTTGACAGGAAAACATCGAGCGCCTGATTCAAGCTCAGGTGATTCAAAACTGATATGCTTATAGATGCTTCGACACAAGTCTTTTCAAGTTTAGAGCTTACCGCCACTGTTTGCGGGCAGTGAAGCTCAGCTCAGGATGACGCTCTATCCCGATGCTCTTCAGGCAAAGTTCAAACGAAAAGCCATACAATGGTAAGAAGAGCGCTAGTAGCTTCTTGTTGCTAGCAGTAAGAATGCTCCTAGTAGCGATGCCAGGAGCCCCTAGTAGCTTCCTTGCTCCTAGTAGTAAGGCCAGGAGCTCCTAGTAGCTTCTTGTTACTGCTGTTGATGTCCGTTCAATCAGATCGGTGAAAGAAAGGGCTGGTCGCAATAAGGTGAGCGCATTTGATGGGACTGGCCTGGATGATCTGAACATGGAGGCCCAGAAGCAAGCCACTATGTGATTGCTTTTTACTTTGCGTTGAAAGGTTCGAGGATTGCTGGAAGAGATGACCAAGGTGGGCGACGTGGAGTGGGATGCAATTCTTCGTTCCCCACATCACTATGTGGGGTTCTAGTTTTGTTGGCTGCCATCCCGCCCGACTCCGTCCTTCCTTCCCTCCTCCGTCCTTCCCTCCTCCGTCATTCTCTTACACACGCAATCATCTTGTCATCTGACCTCTTTCCCTCACACACAATCATCTCATCATCATCTCACCTCTTTCTCTCATTTCTCTCATTGTCTTTCATTCTCTTTCATTCTCTTTCATCTCCACTTGATCTACTCGCCCTTTTTTGGCATCTCACAGTCACACACACAATCATCTAGTCGCCCTCATTCACTCACAAAACTTCATCTATTCGCCCTTCTTGTCACATCTCACCCCCGCAGTGGCCGGCGTAGTCTCCAGAGACTGCATGCAGAAGGGGCTGCGGCGCGCGTTGTCGCCGCTGGGGGCCCGGCGCGCTCCGCAGTGACCGGCACAGTCTCCAGAGACTGCAGAAGGGGCCGCGGCGCGCGTTGTCGCCGCTGGGGGCCCGGCTCTCTCTGCAGTGGCCGGCGCAGTCGCCAGAGACTGCAGAAGGGACTGCGGCGCGCGTTGTCGCAGAAGAGGCTGCGGCGCGCGTTGTCGCCGCTGGGGGCCCGGCTCTCTCCGCAGTGGCCGGCGTAGTCTCCAGAGGCCGCGGCGCGCGTTGTCGCCGCTGGGGGCCCGGCTCTCTCTGCAGTGGCCGGCGCAGTCGCCAGAGACTGCAGAAGGGGCTGCGGCGCGCGTTGTCGCCGCTGGGGGCCCCTGCGAACGCGCGTTGTCGCCGCTGGGGGCCCGGCTCTCTCCGCAGTGGCCGGCGCAGTCGCCAGACACTGCAGAAGGGGCTGTGGCGCGCGTTGTCGCCGCTGGGGGCCCCTGCGAGTCGCATTGTAAGGGCTGCGGGGAGGATGTTTGAGAAGCCTGTCTTCTCCAGAGGTTGCAGCAGGGGCTGCGGCGCGCGTCTCCAGAGACTGCAGAAGGGGCTACGGCGCGCGTTGTCGCCGCTGGGGGCCCGGCTCTCTCCGCAGTGGCCGGCGCAGTCTCCAGAGACTGTAGAAGGGGCTGCGGCGCGCGTTGTCGCCGCTGGGGGCCTCACAGTCACATAGCCTCCTTCTCTCTCTCTCTCTCTCGTCCCTCTCGTCCCTCTCATCCTTGTTCATCACATCATCAGACACTTTATCACACACCCACACACACACACACACACGCACGCCATCTTACCACACACACACACACACACACACCTCCTCCCTCCCCTCCTTCTCCACATCATCACTTATACTGCGCGTCTGAGCATAACCGCCTCATACACTTTCTCTCCTCACACTTCGTTCTTGACTTTTCATCTCACTACTCCGTCTCCCATGTGATGTTCATATACAATTGAAATTTGTAAAACTTATCATGTGGGGTTATCCTGTCCTTTTATTTGTTTTTCTTTCTACCTGCTAGTAGCTTCTTGTTACTAGTAGTAATAGCTTCTAACCTGCTAGCGATGGCCTCCAACCTAGTAGGTTCCAGCTACTAGTGGCTTCTTGTTGCTAGTAGTTGCAAAAGTATGTGATATTTCTTCACCCTTTCTGTTCAAAGGTGGTGCGCCAACTCCAGCGCACAAAGATCCGGCAGCTGCGGATGGGAGACGTGGAAACTGCTGTCAACAAGGAGGCGTGTGGCATAAATTGTAAAGTGTTTGTCAAAGTTTTACCTGTATGAGGCTTTATCTTTGCGCTGAAATCAAATATATGAATTAAAGATAGTATGACAAAGCTTAATACGAAATGTAGTTTTCAATATGTTGCAATCTCCCAGGCTAACCATTGTGGCTAGCATATCGTTGACTCTCTGGTCAGACGACATAAAAAAGAGTTCCCAAAACAAAAAGTGAAACATAAGCATCAAGCCATACACATCGAAAGCGGAAATGACCATGTGGCCAAGTTCTGTCCACAACCTTCAAGAAGAATGCCAGCAAAACAACAAAGCTCACTCGGCTCAATGTAGGGCCGGGCGCCAAAGATGGCCCCTTTAGGCAGGGCTCTGCCACACTTATATGCTTCGGTCGCGTTGTAGTAGCCAGGGACAAAACGTTGCTGCTCCCTTGTCATAATGACTACCACAGCCTTTTTGAAGAATTTAAGAGCGTCATTGAAGGCAGTGCCCGTGTCAGGAAACTCTTGAAACTTGTAACCCCGGTGTACAAACAGAAAAAGCAGTTCAACAAAGCCAACCCCAAGGTCATCAGCCACTCGCCAACTTAGTGTACCCAGGAAGTCAAGCACGGTCGGAAAGTCCAGGGAAGACAGTTGAGGGCGTTTCGGCAGCTGAATCTCATGCGGCCGAGGTTTCCAAGTGAAGTCCGCAATATTGGGGGCCCAATTCCATAAAGGAAAACGTGCCTGGAAGAAGTCATCACTTGTTTGTTGAATATCCAACTTCGGTTCCCTTGTAACCTTGATAGAACATTGATCACCGATGATTTTGTTCAGATTGGCTAACTGGAATTGTCTGTTGTAAATCTGCTCTTGGAGGTACCCATGCAACCGGGGGTCAATAGGCGATTCAGCCCAAGCATGTTTACGAGCAACGAGATCAGCTTGTTGATTACAAAGAACTTGTTGGCGAGTAAGCCCAAACTTGTTTGCAAGTTCATCCGTGATGTGGCGAGGTTCCACGCCGTCGAGAGAGTGGGCCTTCATCCACTGAACCGTGATGGGTGAGGGATGTCTCGCACAACGTTCTTGCCAAACTGCTAACAACTTTTTCCACCAAAGTTGATGACTCCAATGGGCTTCGATCCTGCCGTTGCAAATCATGGCTGTGATTTGGTCCACCACTGCTTGACAGTCAGACCAGATACACAGGCATCCAGGAAGGTGGAGGATTGCTTGGAGTATTGCAAACAATTCTGCAGCGTATGAAGTCAAGGAAACATGATACACAGGCCCAGAAACAATACATTGTCCCTTGTCATCCACAACCGCAAAACCAGCTGAGGTAAGCCAGTAGCTTTCCTGGAAAATGACAGAACCGTCCGACCAAACTGTTTGCCGCTCAAGGTTCGCATCAAACGGAACTGCATCTCCCAACTGAGTATGGCTCCGGAGCCGATGGTTGGCAATACTGACAGGATGTTCGCAAATTCCCAGCAAGGAGAAATTTGTACCAAGTTCGCGCTCAATGCAACTGCGTACTCCGGCCGGAGCGTTCGGGCAATCATGCACGATATGGGACAAGCATTCCTTAGTTTGGTGGCAAAAACGGCAGTTGGGATCATCAACAAAACCGGCGGCACATCGACGATCATTGGTGATCGTACAGCCGACTACCTGAGAATCAAAGTGAGGTGTCAGGTCTTCCCTATGGTTGAGGGGAACCTTATACTTGCGTTTGAAAAGCGTGCTCAAAAAGGGGTCAATAAGGCCCTTGGGTTTGAACAGGTCTTTCCGTGGTTTATCACAGGAGTGCTCATAACATGCTTGTTTTCCAAGTGCCACAAAAAGTGGTTTCATGTCACGAAATTCGAAATCAAGAATTGACAAACGAACGTCTCCGATGCCAATTGAGAGATCCGGGAATAAAGTCATGTGAAACCACAAGAAGCACTTTTGGACATGAAAGAGCAACGAATGCTTGTGCTCCATGCAATGGTCAAACATGTTTGTCAGGCGATCTCTTGCCTGAGGGTTCCTATGAACGAAACGCCAAAAATTTCTGATAGCGTTATACGCACGTGCAGTGCAAGGCTCGACAAGACATGGTTGCACCAACAGACAAAAAATCAACATCTTAGAGCGCCAAAATGGTCTGTTATGCCACAGGGCAGTGGCAATCGCTGATTGAAGGCGACTCACAACACTCTTAGGGATAGCAGCAAGTTCGGAGGCATAGCTGCATTGGGGAATTACCTTTGAGGCCATTAGTTGAGATCTAGTCCGCATGGTAACAGGTAGTGCTGCAATATTTCGGATATCATTGCAGATCTTTTCAACCTTCTGTTCGGAGAACTGAAACGAGCATCGATCTGACGTTTGCATGTTGGCACCTAGAACATCAACTTCTAGGGCGAGGGGGATTTCGGGGAAGGTTTTTTTGGCTCTCTCTCTCTCTCTCTAGCGGGGCCCGTAGTAGCCCATAAAGTGCACTTGTCTGGGTTGAGTTTCTGTCCTACCAACTTATTCCACTGGCGAGTAGCTTCGAAAGCACGGTGCAGCACATCAACATGGGCCAAGCGCACCCAAATGTATGCATCATCTATGAAAGCCTTGTACATCACCTCAGGAAGAAGGGACATGAAACGAGCCCAAACAGCCATGTACACATTAATGGCGATGAGGGACAAACTGCATCCCTGCGCAACGCCGTTGGCGCACGAAACAGGCTTGCACGAAACCCACCCTCTAAAAGAGAGATGTTTGCGAAGGGCACCATACATCTTGAGAAACACGTTTACAACCTTTTTAGGCATACCAAACGCCAAAAACAAAATCGCTGCAAAGTCTGGAACAATGCGGTCAAAACACTTCGATTGATCGAGTTTGATGCCGACGATGGCATCCCCCTCAAATGAGGCTTGATCAAGCTCAACCTGCAAACCTACGTTTACTGTTGACATGGAGCGCCCTTTGATGCCACCACACAAAGCCGAAGGGAAGACTTGTTCCTGCCAGGAGTTGAGTTGGCGGAACCGCGTCCCAGTATAAGCTAAGATAAGTGGGGACAAAATGGTGATCAACCTTTTATTGAGGGGGGTGGAAATCCCCGCTTTGTTCAAGATGATTTGCTTGGCAGTCATGACGATTTTTGGAATGTCGAAGTCTAATTCTTCTTCAAGAGTTCGAAAAAAAGGATGCGATCTGATTACAACAGCTGAGTGGCAAAGATTGGAGGTCAGTGGTTCTCCAGCCATCCAATCCAGGTGCAGCGAGAGGATTTCGCTGTTGGATCGTTTGGAGCAGCTCATCGCCCGTCAACGGTGGAATGTCGAAAGGCTGAATCTGCTGATCCACATAAGGCCAAATGACTTGAAGCATGTGGGTTGGGTCATCATGCAGAACATTGGCGCTATACACCTCATCCCAAGTAGAACTAATAGTATACATGGCATGGCACGGGTTATAGACAATGTTACCATCATTATCAAGCACTAGATTGGCCGGTTCTTCAGTAGCCTTATTCTTAAGGTGATTATAAATGTATTTTTTGGTGCCTCCAGCCGAAGCTTGAATTTTCCGCTTCCAATTTTCGATTCTTTGAGCTTTTTGGTTGGCTTCCCAAGCAATGGCACGACCTGTCATCACACAATGCATGTGTTGACCGAGGTGAGGTCTGGAGAACATGGCATTTCCCAAAAATCCGGGGCTTCAAGGTCTCGAAGGGCCCTCCAAACTCTTTTTGCCGTGCGTTGGGTGATGATTGCATCATCTAGTGAGCGCGACGGTCGCTGGAGTCGAGTGAACAGTTCCCAAAGACGGTCTAATGTGTTGAACAATCTGGAGCCCTTGTGATTGGTGGCGACCCCAGTGGGTAACTGCCCAGGGCAAATGCACTTCTTCCGAAAGACCGGAGGAGTCCCCCGTGTTCGCTGGCCATGTCCCCAAGTGGCACCAGCAGAAATCAAAGTCTGCATGCAAAACTGGTTGACAATCTGCCATTTATCTTCTGCATTAAGGGTTTGGGCGTACTTATGGGAGAAGGTAGTTTCCCAAAGATCGCTGGCAAGCTTATCAACAACAACACCAGCTTTGGATTTGGGGTTGGGAATCCGGCTAGTATCCAAAGGAGCGTTTTTGACATGGATGTTGCCAGCATGCCATCAATTGATGAGCAATTGTCACCCGGTCCCGAAAAAGTGCAATCACGGGAGTAAGCGGTCTCGAACACGTCCCATATTCTGCCATCACAAGGAGGGGATCATGCCACCCATGAAAATTGATTGCCTCCGAAGCACACTTGTAGTTCATGGGGTCAGTCTGGAAATCCCCTGCGATGATAACAGGAACATCACCAAATTGGGCAACCACCTCAAAAATCTGATGGAGCAAAGTGTTATTGGACCGCAAGGTGTCGGGGCAGTGGGAAGCGCCCGACTTGAGGTAAACCGAAAACACCAAGACTTTGAGGGATGGGAAATTTGAACCCAAATAGCATTTGCGCGTTTGGAGTCAAAACTCAGAGCGTAGAGACCCGAAACGTCATGGTCCACACTAAATGGGGTCGTAATCGAGTCAGGGGCGATGACAGCGGTTCCCCCATGCATAGTCGTGTGGTGCCCATCGGCACGGATAATCCCTGGGAGCAACGCACCACAAAAAAGGGTGCGGCCGGTGGCAGCGACGTCTCGAGAGGCCGTGCGAAAGTTGTTGCGGCCTACCCTCGTCTCTTGAACACATGTGATAACATCAGAATTGCTCTTCCAAAAGGTGGATGACTTAAGACTACCTACGTTAACGGTAGAAAGGGACCAAGATGAACGGTGAACATCCAGAGGCCCTTCCCCGGGGAACCCAAGTGAGTCATCGAAGACACGAGGCCACCCAATTTGTTTGGGACCCACCGGTCGAACGATCGGGCAAGCTGGCAGCATTTACGCTTTTTGCGTTTCAGCAAAAGGTTGAGGTTCACATTACGAAAATGCTTGATGCGCTGCTCCACCCCGGCTGGACCACAAACACCTGCAACGAAGCAACAAAGACCGACAGACAAAGACAGACAAACCGGCAAAATTCCATGAACGAAGAAGCAAGGCGTCAAAGGCCCAGAAGCTATGGGTGGTAGGAAGGCCAAAATGGCGAATAGAGAACTCGAATGCCACGTGCCGTTGGCAGGCA